GCCATGGCAACGTACCCGAGCTGTGCTAGTTGCCTCTCAGTCACTGAGGGGTTGGCTGCGTCCATTCTTTCACTCTTTATACTGGGACCATGAGTAATGCTCGCAAAGCGGAAGGCGAGGACCTGGACTGGGTCCGGTTGAACGCCTCCCAGACGCCCTTCATAGTCTCCTCCAGTGATGGACCATACCAGCCAGGCGTGGTCCAGGATAGCGAGAATTGGGGCTGAAGTGGCGACCTCGGAGTAACGTCCAGGGAGGGCTGGTTCTACAGGAGCCGTGCGCATGGGGCTGTCAGCTCGCATGCCTGGGCGGCCTGGGCGGTGCCTCCTCCACGCGTGGTGTATGAGGAGCTCCAGGTTGCTGGTCTCACGAGATGTTCTCGGCGCTCCGCGGTTGGGGACCTCGCGCCACGGCCCCTCAGTGTGCACAAGGTGCCGGCGTAGGGCCCTCATGGTGCCCCCCCTGCCAGAGATCCTGGCGTCTGCAACGCGCGGGCCACAGATGGGTCCGTCCGCCTCCCGGCTGGCCGCCCAGTCAGCATTCGCGTGCCCAGTGGCGTCCAGCCACCGTGCGTGGAGGTCCGCAGCGCTTTGCCCCCTGCTCCTCAGCGCTTGGCTGGGGTCGTCAAGGTCTGAGGGGGTGGGCGGGTTCTCCAGTCGCAGCTCATCTTCCAGGGCGAGATCTGGACATGGGTAGGAGGGGGGGTCCGTGAGGACGGGGCCCCTGTGTGCCGTGTGGCTGACCTCGAGGGGCGCGCCGCTGCCCGTCCAAAGGAGAGGCCCCCGCTCTCTGCCCTGTGACGAGTAGTCAGGTCCACGACGGCATCCACCGAGCGCAGTGTTAAGAAACTCGAGCCCAGGGGACGAGGGAGGAAAGGCACGAGGAGATCCATCCGCCGGGATCGGAGACCTTGCCCGATCGATCGGATCGACATGAGGAGCGGCCCCGACCGCGGGATCGGAAGCAACCCTGGGGGTGCTGGGCGAACGAGGAGGCCCGCCAGGCCTTCCAACGGCCAAACCCATGGCGAGACAGAGGCGATCGATCATCCCTGTGGAGGAGGGCGCCTCCCTGCGATCACTGGAGCCGGGGGCCCCCGACTCTCGCTCGCCTCCCTCAAGCGCGAGGCAAGGCCCGTGGCCTGCTCCTGGGAGGCACCGGGAGGCCGCGGTATCAGTGTGTATACTGACGACGCTGTCCCGTCCCGCCTCTGTGGGGGCTGGGTCACAGGTCATGTCTTCCCTCTGCCAGCGATCCCTGGGTTGAGCGCCGCGCGCCTCTCTCTGAGTCGTCCGGTCAAGGGTAGCGACGGAAGGTCGCACTTCTGTGTGTATCGCGGGGGGGAGAGCCTCGTCCCCTCCTTGAGTGTGGCGCCTAGCGAGCTCGTCTCCAGTGGGTCGACTGGAGGCGGCAGCGCTGGGGCGCACATAACCGCCGCGCCCCCGTCCAACCCCCGTGGGGGTAGGGTCCCTGGTCCTAGTTTCCCCGTCGGACAGTTCCCTGGGTCGAAGGCCTTGGGCCTCGTCCAGCCTTCCGCCATCCGCTCCAGGGTAGCGACGGAAGGTCGCACGGTTTGGGCGTATATCAGGGATGTCTGCATCCCCCCTTCTGCAGCATTATGCCTGCCGCTCTCGGGCGCACGGGAGCGGTCGAATGCTGCGTCGGTGGCGGGATGCCCTTCACGGGTGGACGGCGCGGCTCCACCGCTTAGCTCGCCAGCGGGGACGGCCTCACCCAGCGCGGGCACGCCCAGGGGGGGGGGTTCGGCGGCGGGTTGGCGCGAGCCTTGATGGGGCGTGCAGGGGCTGCGGGCAGCGGCTTGCCCGCTCCTGTTGCCTATGCCCTCGCGAGCGCCCCCTGAGGATATCAGCTCCCTGAGCGCAACGCCCGAGTCAACCTGTCCCCTGGGAAGACCGCGGCGGATGTTCGTTTGTTCCTCGTCGGTTGACCTAAGCGAGACTGGATCCGCGGGAGAGTTTTGTGCCGAAACGGGGCCCTCTCCCCCCGTAGCCCCGGCAACGCCTGGGGCCGTTTCACTCTGCCCGACAGCGCCTGGAGCGAGGGAAGTTGGACGTCCTGCAGCGGGCATGGGAGCGGCGGGGGTGAGAGAGGCGGCTGGGTTAGACAGGAGGTCTTCGTGCCCACGGTCATCGCGTCCAGGGGAGCGACGGAAGGTCGCAGCATCGGGTTGTCCTCTGCCAACGTTGCCACGACCATCCCCCACGGGGGTCAGCTCCCTGGTGCATTCTTCCCCTACACACCGTTCCCTGGGCTGAACATCGCGGGCGTTCCTCTGCCCGTCGCAGTCCGTTCCAGGGTAGCGACGGAAGGTCGCACGTTCTGTGTGAATTGTGGGGATGGCCGCACTACCCCCTCCTTCAATGCTACGCCTGCCGCTGTCAGTCTCCTGAAGGCGGCCTGGAGTGGCGTCAGCATCGATGCGCGCGCCGCAACCGGAGGACATGTCTTCCATGCTCAAACCGTTGTGGGGAGCAGCCTCACTCGGGGCGGCCGCATCCAGAGAGGGGGGCACGGCGGAGCGAGGGCAAGAGCCCCTGGGATGCGCGACGGGGCCGAGGCGACATGACTGCCCGTCTCCCCCCACTTCGCCTTCATGGGCGCTTGCTGGGGGTGTCGGGTCCATACAGTTCCCATCCACGCCATCGAGGTCCCTGCGTCGGGAGCCGAGGGCAACTCCCAGCTCGTCGCGAGACTGTCCGAAGAAGGAGGGGGGGTCGTGGGAGAATAAACTGCTTCAGGAGTGGGCCCGTCGGCCCCCGTGAGCCTAGTATCGCCATGGGCGGTCCCGCTGTGCCCAACGCTGCCTGGAGAAAAAGAGATTGGGCGTCCAGCCGTGGGCAGAGGAAGAGTGGGGGCATGGGAAGGGTAGCTGGGCGGGAGGGCCTCATGTCTGACATTATTACCTCCAGGATGGCGACGGAAGGTCGCGCTGTCAGTATGAAACGGAGGGCTGAACGTATCAACCCCGTCTACCGCTGCGCGTCCGTCGATCGCAAGTCCAGGGTAGCGACGGAAGGTCGCACGTTCGGTGTGTATCACAGTGTTGAGGGGATCTACCCCTCCCTCCGGTTGGCTGGGGACCATTTGTCCTCGTGTGCCCGAAGCATCGGCCGAAGCGCTCCCATTCCAGGGAACAGAGGGCGACGGTTGCCCCGGCGGGATGGTGTCCTGAGATCCAGGGCGAGTCTGTCCAAAGTGATTTGGCCCAGTGGTCCCGAGGCCGACATCGGATGATGCGGCTCTTTCCCCCGCAGGGATGACAGGATTGCCGCCGATCGATCGCAAGCTATCAGGCCGACCATCCATGAGGCAGCGGTCCTGATCCGATCTGAGCCTCGGGCCGCTGAGCCCGTCTGCGCGGCGGGAAGGCGTCCGCGATGGCTGGCGCGCCCGGGGCCGGAGGGGGTCCAGGGCCGCGGCCCCCTTCGCAGCGTCTGGGCGCCCCCTTGAGCGGCGGGAGACTGCCCCGGAGGGGGCAGGCCCACCAGACGGCCTTGAGCCAAAGGCTACGGAAGGGTGGGGATACGCGAAGCGTCTAGAATCCCACCAGCCCTTTGGGCGTGAGTGGTTTAGGGAGCCCGCTCTGTCCTCAACCCCCCTTCTTCCCCTTCGGGGAGGGGTTTACCCCTCCCCCTACCCCCTCCCCCTGGACCTGGAGAGGGAGTTCCGCGGGTCGTCAGGGGGTTCTTTTTCGACGTCTGGGAGGGCCAACAAAAACGACGACCCTCACGAGGATTCTGGCCCCGAGGGGGGGGGGAGTTTGGTGCCTCAGCTCGTTTTTGAAGCAAAAATCATGGATTGTACTACGGTTCTGGCCCCATTTTGGCCTTCTGATGGGGCCGCGTTCCCCTTCCTTCATAGCAAAATCATTGATTTTACGAAAGTTTTGGGCTCATTTTGATCAAATCAGGGGGAAGCGCTCATTTGCGCTTCTGAGGAGGTCGCAAGAGGCTCCAAGATGGACCCAAGAGGCCCCCAGGAGGCTCCCAAGAGGCCTCCAGGAGGCCCCCAAGAGGCCCCCAAGAGGCCCCAAGAGGTCCCCAACAGGCTCCCAAGAGGCCCCCCAGAGGCCCCAAGAGGCTCCAAGAGGCCCCCAAGAGGCCCCCAAGAGGCCCCCAAGAGGCCTCCAAGAGGTCCCCAAGATTCCTCCAAGAGGCCCCCAAGAGGCCCCAAGAGGCTCCCCCGAGGCACCCAAGACGCTCCTGGAAGCCCCTGGGGCCGCCAAGAGGCCCCCAAGACGCCCCAAACGACCTCCAAGAGGCTCCCAAGAGGCCCGAAGAGGCTCCCCCAAGGCACCCAAGACGCTCCTAGAAACCCCTGGGGCCGCCAAGACGCCCCCAAGACGCCCCAAAAGGGGACGAGGTGCCCGAACGCCTCACGCCACGAGGAGCCCGAACGACTCACACCAGGACGAGGGGCCCGAACGACTCACACCACGAAGAGCCCGAACGACTCACACCAGAAGGAGGGGCCCGAACGACTCACACCAGGACGAGGCGCCCGAACGACTCACACCACGAGGAGCCCGAACGACTCACACCACGACGAGGGCCCCGAACGACTCACACCACGAGGAGCCCGAACGAGTCACACCAGGAGGAGGGGCCCGAACGACTCACACCAGGACGAGGGGCCCGAACAACTCACACCACGAGAAGCCCGAACGACTCACACCAGGACGAAGAGCCCGAACGACTCACACCACGAAGAGCCCGAACGACTCACACCAGGAAGAAGGGCCCGAACAACTCACACCAGGACCAGAAACCCCAAACGACTCAAACCACGAGGAGCGCTTTCTCTCCCTCCTCCTCCGCCTCGTCCTTCTCCCGCTCCCCCCACAAGGAGGATGTACAAGGAGGCGGGAGGAAGGAGGAACAGGGGAGATATGCGGGGCCAAGCGGACACAACGCCTGAAAAACACGACTGTCGGCATGCTTCGCGAGAGTTGCTGCTGTGAGATGGGCTGGTGGGGATACGCGAAGCGTAAAGAATTTGCAGATTCTGTGGTGCTCCAGTCTGGCTTTGCAGCGCGCGAGCGACGCCGTCGGAGGCAATCCCACGCTCGCGTTGGACTGCTACTCACACGACAGCAGCTGCAAAGAACAGCTAACACCCAGAACAGGGGCAACATTTCCAAGGCCAGGATAAGAGGAGGATGGAGAGGTGCGGGCAGACGAGGGGGGAGGGGGGGGGGAGAAGGGAGAGGACGAGAAAGGAGGCTCTGCTCCCGTGCCTTGGCTTTCCTGCCATTGCAAGGCTTGGCAAGGTTCCAGCCCACGCTTCCCTTCGCTGTACAACTGTGGAAACCAGTGGACACTCCGGTGTGTTAAAAAATCACAGCCCTACCTACTCAACAGGGGGGCCATGGCATACCGTTGCCACGGACCGCCCTGAGTCTACGCTGGAGGCAGCGCCATCCGACTCTCGCGATCAGTGCCTCGTGCCCGCGCGTCGCTACGCACGAAGATCAGGTGCGCATCCGAGAATGTTCGACCACCCAGTGGGCAGCCAATGGCAAGGTTCTTGAGTCACTCGAACAGCTCGTGGCCCACGCCTCCGCTGGCTGTGCAATTGTGGAAACCAGTGGGCTTGAACATCACACTCTGGCATGTTGGATGCAGCCCTGCCGTTCCAACATACACAGAAATTGGACTGGCCCGCAATCCGTTTAGGCTTCAGGCCGCGCATCACCTCCAGTACTGCCTGAGGACTGCCTGAAGCCTGTGGCTCCTGGTGTCAAATACCTCAAACTGAAGATCAAGAAATCCTCAAAACCGATGCTATCCCCGAGGACTGGCTTGTACGTGTCAGCGAGGCCGATGAAAGAGAGAAGGCTCTCCATTTCCTGGCTGTCTATTCTGCCGCTGCGGTCCACGTCCAGCTCGTCAAACTCCTTTTTGTACCTGTCGATCTCGACGGGATCTAAGCCGTACTTCAGGGCCATCCTGCGCAAGCCGCGCTCCTCCTCGGCTAGGCTGTGTCGTTTGTCGAAACACAAGATGCGCGTGCACTCCAAAAACTCACAGAAGCTCAGACCGCGATCCCCGTGGACACACACGGCCTTACACACCTTCTTGACGGAAGACGCCATCCGCTGAACCTGCCGCTCCGCTGAGACGTCGCTGTCCAGGTTGAATTGGCTCTGCATGAGCCTGGCAAACTGCTCCTGGCCGAGGCGTCCGTCCCTGAGCAGATCGGCCCCTGGGGCAAGGGGCTCGGCGTGGTCCCGGAAGGCGGCGTATGCCCGCTGCATCTCTGCCAACGGCACCTGCATGGTCTTGGCAAGTCGGCAGGCCTCCGCGACGTCCCTGCAGTGGCTCCGCACCGCCGCCGCCGCCGACCCCGCGGGGCGCGACGATCCCGTGGGAGCAGGGCCGCTGCCCCGATCGCTCCGCGCAAGCTCCAGGTCCTCGCGCGCTGGCGCCCCAGACGGGGGCCTGTGACCACCGCGCCTGGAGCGGCTCACGTCGACCACCGCCACTGGCGCTCCGCAACTCCCTGCCACAGACAGCCTCGAGACCGGGCGGCTGCTCGCAGGGGAGTCGCGCCCCGACGACTTCGAACCCGCACGGGTGGACACGGGGGAGCCAGGCGCTGTGCTGGGTGTCGCGCACACTTGGGCGCCTGGCTCAGCCTTTACAGGGCGAGGGTTGGAGCAAGCCCTGCGGCTGAGCGACGGATGCGACATGAGGCTGCCCGAGCTGGTGGAACGGCTCAGCAGGCGTGAGCTCTCCCGGTTCACTGGGCTGCGCAGAATGGGGTCCAGTCGGCTGGAGCTCATGGGTTAGGGGTATAGTCAGATTCGGCTGCAAGTGGCGAACACAAGCTGGGAGGCAGCCGGGGTGGAAGCTTGAGCCACAATTTCAACCGATTTGAACCCTCATGCCGTGATGGGTTTTGGGCACGCTTCGGCACTGACACTGCCGCCGCCGCCCCCTCGCCAGGGCCACGGCAGCCTGCAGCCGACGGGCCCCAGAGCTAAAGCCAAAGAGCTCGACGAACCTCGACCGAACGACGAACGACCTCGACGAAAGACAGCCCGCTATGACTTCTTCACAACGTAGGCCCCCGGAGGCCTCAGCCCATTCCTCGGGACCGGCTTTTCATCCTGAATCGTTTTTTGACGCCCTCGGGGCCTGGCGAGGCCCCTTAAAAGCCGAGCAGAATGAAACACCTTCTCGTTAAGGGCTAAACGACTCCTGCTGTCCCTCGACTCACGCTGGAGCAGTTGCGACGATTTGCCCTACAATTCCCTGGAGATCTTTGGATTTACCTGGACTTGCCCAGATTTATTTGCGTCTGCCTTCATTTGCCCGGCTCGGCACCCACAAAACGATCGGCGAGAGGTCGTCAAGCCCTTGAGGACCTTCCGTTGTGCTTCCTTCCACGCCGCGAGGGCCAAAGACACCCGACATAATTAATAATGATTTTTGCATGACGCGGCCCCCAGAAGTCTGGACCCATTCCCCGGGACCGGCTTCTCATCCTGCGGCGTTCTCGGATGGCAGGGGCCCCCAAAGGCCGAAAACTGAGAAAAACCTGTCGCATTGATGTTTTCATAGCTCGGGTGGGGGTCCGCGAAGCGGGCTCCGCCTGCGGCGCCGCCCCGCGCCAAACGCGCCGCCCGCCGCGCCAGAGGCGCTTCGGCGCCACTGCGCGGCGCCTCGGGTCCGCCAGCGGCGATGGCCTGCGCTGGGCTTCGGGCGATCCCCCATCCCAACCCCTCCTTGTCTGTGTCTGTTGTCCGCAGTCCTGAGAGGGAAGAGCTGTATTTGAGCCACAGATGTTGCAGCGCACAGCAGACGCTGTCCCACTCTGTGGACTAGATGCTGCCTGAACATCACGCGAGCTCTGCAAAGCTTCCCACCCAGTCGGAACACTATAAACGACCCCCTTCGGCTGATAAACCGAATGTGGACCCGGATGAGATATACAAAGCAAACGCGACTGGGTAGACGAAAACCCCTCCATAAGCAGGCGGCGCAGCCGAGACCCCATCCCAACAAGGCAACTTGTATAGCGAAGTGACAAAAAGCAAATCAGGTGCCATCAAAAGGCGATCGTGATTTGGGCGTAGGCGCACAGGGGCACCCGAACACGCGATACACGATTTGAGGCGTCGCAAAACACCAAGCCATGCAAAACGATAGCCCGTCGGTCGGAAACAAGTGTTAAAACATTAGATAGGAAGGAGATGGAAACATATTGGGTTCCCGCCCGCCCCCTGAAGCGGGGACATCAATAACCGTTCGACTCATGAAGTAGGAAGGCGCCTAAATTAGATTGGGATCTGGATTGGGATCTGGATATCCAGAAAAAAAAAACATACTTCCAACGACCGCCGTGTAACATCGTCAACCATTTGGGATTTAACCGCGTAGACGAGCACCTGGATCTCATCCGATCCTAAATTCAAATCTTAGGCAATGCGTCGTGCGATGATAACCCGGAGATGGATTCGGAAAGCATTCCCCAGCTCGACTTTTCCAATCACAATGTGTTGATTGGGTCCTCGCATGTGCATGGACATGTCGCACCCGCCCACACACTTGGCTAAAATGTTTGCACGGATCTCATGGGTTCCCACTTTGACCATCTGACGTTTCCTCGCCGTATCTTCTCCTGAAACTAGTTATGACAAACCTCGATGTGTCGAACTGTTCCTAATCCTCGCCGGCTTGCAGTGGCGATGGCCGCACTGGCATCGCTCTTTAACACGGTACTGCAATCAACACCGAAGTCCTTGGGAACTGGTTGTAGTCCTAACGCTACTGATCCACCTTTCACCATTCCGTACTACTCTGTGTTTCTCCACAAGATCAAGCTACTACACTCTGAATCGAACTCCACAACTTCATCAAATCCGATCCCCACATATCCGTATCTCCACTTGATGAGATACGTGTCCTTTTGCATCCAGCATGGTCGGTGTCTGTCGACACCGTGAAATCTGTAGGGCGCTCCTGATACAATGTGCTGTTATCCGCACGTGTCGTGGTTGTTGAGGTGTTTGCCTAACTCTACAAGACTCCCCCATGCTCTCCGAGACGGGCCTGGCATAGAACGCGCGAGCTGTTTGATTGGGACCTGTATATATGATCGTCCGTGTGCATATAAGTTGCTCAAATCTCTAGAGCTTGGTATTTCTTGACTTCCTGGTTTGGTCATAGGGCCTTTCACAATCTTTATCGCAGGCCTGCTTGTCACCTAATATCTCACACATTACTTTGTACTATCTCAGCATGCTTGCGGTCAGCCTCATAACATAAACCACCCCGGCTCCAGTCCACAAGTCGGTGAACAATTCCGATCGAATTCAAATCGTTTAGCCCTGGTGCGAAACGTCCACGGATTTAACGTGAAACGTCATCTGAATTTCTCCTGCGAACAAGTCAAGATCAATGTCACCACCAAGTAAAATTAAACCGTCCCCGTGAAGTGTGAGCCAAATCGGTCCTGTAACACCCACGGCGATGCTTTCCCATTGTCAAAACCGGTATCACGTACAAAATCCGGCGCGGCGCTCCGCAGGAGCCTCGGAGATCTCCGCAGGTCTGGACGAGACGCTGCTACCATGCAGAACGCATCCGGAGGCAAGAAGACCTCCAGGAACCTACGAAAGCGTCCAAGCACTCTGCCAGACATGGACCGCGATGCATCTGTGTTTTGATGTCCCGACCCCCTCCCCAGGAGTCGGCTCTCGTCTGGGATCGAAGCTCGACTTTTTCGTCAGCGGCGAGGCGCCACCGGGTGGCGATTCGGGGCGACCGAAAAGCGTATTGGCAGGCGTGCAAGACGGGAGAACGAGGGCGGCCGCGCGGAGGACGGAATAGGAATAGGAATAGGAATAACCCTGGGGCGCCGCACCGTCCATCCAGCCTGCCAGGAGGGCGCCTAGGTTCTACTACTGTAGGCCGAGAGTGCCGCCTGCGCGCTGGCCAGCGCCACGGTGGGGCTGACTCGGGCCCAGTGGCGCACCCAATGGCGCGCAGCCAAGCGGCTGGGCATTCAGACGCGGAAGACTTCCCCGTCGATTTGGCCGGTGCGGCCAGCCGTGGCAGCGGGGGCGGTGGCAGCAGCCGGGCCGCAACTGTGGTGCAGATCGAGGCGGAACACCTGCATTGTGCACGGTGTCCCACGGGGCCGTAGGCGACCCGAGGAGGAGGAGGAGGAGGAGGAGGAGGAGGAGGAGGAGGAGGAGGAGGAGGAGGAGGAGGAGGAGGAAGAGGAAGGGAGAGGAGGAGATGGAAAAGGAGGAGGAGGAGGCTGAGGAGGAGGAGGAGGAGGAGGAGGAGGAAGAGGGAGTAGGAGGAGGAGCTGGAGGAGGCGGAGGAGGACGGGTCGTCTAGGCCCTTTGGAGAAACCCTCCACTGCATTGGCTAAGTAAATATCTCCTCGGAGATCTGGGGACACGCTCGAAACCTCCGCGTGCAAGCGGCCGAGCGGCGCGCGCCGCCCGCCCGCCGCGGCCCCGCCGGAGGGGCGTTTCGGGTCACGGCGAGCCTCGGCTTCGCAGGGAGCGGCCAGCGCTTGCGCGCCTCTTGGCTGCGCTGGGACAGCTCTTGGGTCGTTTTTTTTTTTTTTTTTTTTTTTTTTTTTTTTTTTTTAAAAAAAAAAAAAAAAAAATTATTTATTTTTTTTTCAGGCGGATTTTTGCAGAAGAGCGAAAACGAGTCCAAAAGAACTGTTCAAGAAGAGTCAGAAACAGTCGAGACATCGTCCGCAGACCAGCGTTCACTACTCTACATGTTCCTCCTGCAGAGGGACATGCCCGACTTGAGGACAAATCCATCATATCGGGAAAAAGGACCCACCGAGTCCGAGCGCGCGCGCCGCCAGCGCCGAACAATGAAAAATACCCCAGCAAGTACCCCCAAATGGTCAAAACATACTCAAATCGTCCCCAGAATTTGTTTTACTCTTTTGGAATATTCCTCCTGTAGAGGGACAGGCCCGACTGAACCCCAGGGCGAAGAAGACGCCCAGAAACCTTCGAGCCTCGAACTTCGAGCCTGGAGCCTCAAAAACCTCCAACTCCGAAGACCCTTCGGCGCGCCCAGCCCGCGTCTCGCCCGCAGCGTGGCGCCGTGGCTGCTTCGAGCCAGGGCCGGACCTCCAACGCACCGTTAGGTCGATCGTGTCCCCCTACAGGCGGATTTTGAAAGACAAATGAATGTTTTTCGAAAACTGCTCAAACGTAGCCAAAAGTAGTCGAAAAATCGTCCCCAGACAACTTTTGACAATCTTTGAATATTCCTCCTGTGGAGGGACAGGCCCGACTCAAAGCCAGGGCTGGCCCTCCAACGTACCGAGCTTTTTACGTCGCAGCGAGGCAGGGGCACATCGCACGCGTGCCCGGGCAAGCCGGGTGACGGCATTGCGAGCTGCCCGCATGGCGCGCACTTGCCGAAAACCTTCTACGTCAACGGCGAGGCAGAACTGCACCAGCGAGCGGCGATCCGGAGCAAACGATACGCGAAATGGCAGTGGCCAGCGTGCAGGAGGGGGAACACGGCGGACAAGGCGGCCTCGAAAGACAGGAGGAGGACGAGGGTACTCAGACGCGGAAGAATTCCATGCCGAGGCGCGTTCCGAAAACACAACACATAGATTTCCCCAACCTTTCGGCCCCCGGGGGAGCCCTCGCCGGGCCCCTGGGACCTTCAGAGCACTCACTGCACCGACCTTGCAGACGTGTTGCAGCGGATTGTTTACGTGGATTTCTGCCCATGTCAAACCCTGAAACGGCGAGTGAAAAACGGCGTGAATTTAGGGTTTTTTTTGTCCTCATTCCTGGCCAAAACAATCCGCACGAAATTCACCTCGAAATCCCGAGCGAGATTCTCCAGGACACCCTGAGCCCATCCTGTCGTTTTCCAAACGAAATCCGCTCTGCGATGTTGGCGCCGTGGGAACACGACCCGGGAGGAAAGACCAGTCCTGGGGAGTGGATCGGGACTTCCGGGGACCGCGCACGGACAACGTTCTCTTACTCGGCGTGTCAATACTGGATTAGGTCGGGCATGTCCCCCTGCAGGCGGACTTTGGACGAAAAATCAAAAATACACCAACATACGCCAAAAATATGAAAATCCCCAAATCGTCCCCAGACTCTTTCTTTCACTGTTTTAGAAGATTCCCCCTGGAGAGGGACAGGCCCGACTTAACACTGGGTGGAAGGGGCGGGGGGCAGGAAGAGGGTCGGGCCCTGGACCTGTGCTCAATGCGACTGTGTGCGACAGTCGATGGCCTATGGGGGAGACCCCACCTGCTCGAAACAGGTGGCAGAAACAGCCAAGATCTACTCCATGGTCGGGGATACGTAAGACTCGGGCACGGGGGACTCGGTTTGGCCTCACGGGGGCCATCATGAACATGACGAGGCCCAATCTGAAATTTGACGCGGGCTCCCGCTGCAGATATCCCACGAAAACTGGACCGTCAAAATCCAAGACGCGCTCGTCAAAAAAAGTTGGCAAGCCCGAGCTCCGGCTTGCTCGAGTCTTACGTTTCCCGACATGGGGGGGTGGGGGGAAGGGGGTGCGAGGGCCCGCGCCGATCGGCAAAGCAATGAATAAGAAAACGTTTTTTTTTTTTGTCGCCTTCTCTAGGCGGGTCCAAACCATGACATCACCGGGAATGACGAACTTGCCGTTTCTCTTTGCCTCTCAGCTCTCCGCGGGCGCTGCGGTGGGAGCGCTCTTGGTCATGACGGTGTCCTCTGCGGTCGCCTCCTGCACTGCTGGCGCCGGCTCCTCTCCCTCCGCCTCGCCGCTGTCGTCCTGGCCGCCTCCTCCGGGCACCCTCAGCGCCTCAGAAAACGACCACTGCAAGCAAGCCAGCACCCAGACCCCTGACGTCATGATTTGTCTCATGGCTCGATCCCCGGACCCAGTCCCCGGGACCAGTTTTTCATCCCGAGCCGTTTTTTGACGGTCACGAGGGCCTGCAAGGGCTCTCAGAGTCTCAGGAGGCCGAAAGTTAAGTCGGGCATGTCCCCCCAAAGGCGGATTTGGGGCTAAACATTCTTTATGAACAAAAACACATGCCAGAAATAATCGAAATAGTTAGTTTTAGAAATAATCAAAATATCGCCACCAGACTATATCAGAGTGAGGGGGCCGAACGGTCATTCACTGTCCCTGGGTGCGTGGCTGAAGTGGAATTCCGCGGTGCGGACTCTCGTTGTCGTTGTTGTTGTTGTTGTTGTTGTTGTTGTTGTTGTTGTTGTTGTTGTTGTTGTTGTTGTTGTTGTTGTTGTTGTTTGATGTTGTTTGATGTTGTTTGATGTTGTTTGATGTTGTTTGTTGTCGCTTCCCACTCGCAACCCGCCTCGCGACCCACCCGCGACCCACCCCGCGACCCACCCGCGACCCACCCGCGACCCACCCGCGACCCGCCCCGCGACCCACCCCGCGACCCACCCCGCGACCCACCCCGCGACCCGCCCCGCGATCCACCCCGCGACCCGCCCGCGGCCCACCCCGCGATCCATCCGCGACCCACCCGCGACCCACCCGTGACCCACCCGCGACCCACCCGCGATCCACCCCGCGACCCCCCCGCGACCCACCCGCGACCCAAATCACGTTCAAGGTACAAACCACAATTTTCGGCGCCTGCGGCGGGCTTTTTCTGCATCCCTTCCAGGTGGAGGGCCCGCGACCCACCCCGTGACCAACTCGCGACCAACCCGCGACCCACACCGCGTTCAGGGTACAAACCACATTTTTCGGCGCCTGCGGCGGGCATCTTCTGCATTCGCTTCAGGTGGAGAGCCCGCGGCCCACCCGCGACCACGTTCAGGGTACAAGCTACATTTTTCGGCGCCTGCGGCGGGCATCTTTTGCATTCGCTCCCGGTGGAGATCCCGCGGCCCACGCGCAACCCAAACCGCGTTCAGTGTACAAACCAATTTTTTTGGCGCCTGCGGCGGGCTGCTTTTGCATTCCTTCCAGATGGAGGTGGAGAGCCCGCGACCCACCCGCGACCTCAACCACGTTCACTGAACAAACCAATGCCGCACAAGCGCGGCGGCGGATTTTTGCATGCCGTCAGAGCCCGCAAGGACATCTTCAAGCCCCGCGCATCCACACCGGCCCGTCCAGCAACTCCGCCCTGGCGAGTTGCCTTGATCAGAGAAGGCGGGGGGCACTAAGTGGAAACAAGGACTGCGTTGCAGTTATCTTGGGAAAGGAGGGGGAGGCAGGAGGAGTAAACAGGGGACGAGGAGAACGCGGAAGAAGAGAGGATGTAAGGAAAATGTGGAAAAAGAAAAGGAGGAGGAGCAGGATGACGAGGAGGGGGAGGAGGGGGAGGAGGACGAGGAGGGGGAGGACGGGGATGATGATGATGATGATGATGATGATGATGATGATGATGAGATGATGATGATGATGATGATGATGATGATGATGATGATGATGGGGATGATGCTGCTGCTGATGATGATTGATGATGATGATGATGATGATGATGATGATGATGATGGACGACAATGGGAGGACGATGATGGAGGCCGATGAGGGGGAGGACGACAATGGGAGGACGATGATGACAGGACGAGGGGGGAGAGGGAGGACCAGGAAGAAGAGGAGGAGGAGGAGGACGAGGTGGAGGAGGAGGATGACGATGACGATGAGGACGAGGACGAGGACGAGGACGAGGAGGAGGAGGAGGAGGAAGAGGAGGAGGAGGAGGAGGAGGAGGACGACGAGGAGAGCGCCATCGACAGGGAAGGTGGGGGCCACGAGGTCCGCCGGCTCGACGACGCCCGCGTTGCCCGCGCCCGCCCCCTCACTCTTATCCGCAATTGCGGGGTGCTACGTTTAAACTATATTTCCCAACCAAGCTGTGTTGTTGGGTCCTCGTTTTCAAGAGACGGTCCCCGCGTTCTCCTCCTCCTCCTCCTCCTCCTCCTCCTCCTCCTCCTCTCCTCCTCTCCTTCTCTCCTCTCTCCTCCTCCCCCTCCTCCCTCCTCCTTCCTCCTCCCCCTCTTCCCTGCGCTTCACCCACCCAGTACAGCGTTTCATAGCCCCATAGGGAGCTCCACCGAAGGCCCCAGTGCCACCGTCCACATGCGTCCCCCCCACTCGGTACAGCGCTTCGTGGCCCCATAGGGAGCTCCACCGAGACCCCAATGCCACCGTCCACATGCGTCCCCCCCACTCAGTACAGCGCTTCGTGGCCCCATAGGGAGCTCCACCGAAGGCCCAAGTGCCACCGACCACACGCGCCCCCCCCACTCAGTACAGCGCTTCGTGGCCCCATAGGGAGCTCCACCGAAGGCCCCAGTGCCACCGTCCACGTGCGTCCCCCCACTCAGTACAGCGTCCCCCCCCACCACCGTCACATGCGTCCCCCCCACTCAGCAGCGCTTCGTGGCCCCATAGGGAGCTCCACCGAAGGCCCCAAGCCACCGTCCACATGCGTCCCCCCCACTCAGTACAGCGCTTCGTGGCCCCATAGGGAGCTCCACCGAAGGCCCCAGTGCCACCGTCCACATGCGTCCCCCCCACTCAGTACAGCGCTTCGTGGCCCCATAGGGAGCTCCACCGAAGGCCCCAGTGCCACCGTCCATATGCGTCCCCCCCACTCATTCCCCCCGCTCAGTACAGCGCTTCGTGGCCGCATAGGGAGCCCCACCGAAGGCCCCAGCGCCACCGTCCACATGCGCCCCCCCCACTCAGTACAGCGCTTCGTGGCCACATAGGGAGCTCCACCGAAACCGCTAGTGAGTGCGTCCTGAAACACCCAATTTGGCATTTTCGCCAACCCATTACAGCGTTTCGTGGCCCACAGGGAGCTCCACAGAAGGCCCCAGTGCCACCGTCCGCATGCGTCCCGCACACCCAATGTGGCATTTTCACCCACCAGGGAGCTCCACCGAAGACCCCAGTGGGACCGTCCGCAAGCGTCCCGAAACACCCCTTGTGGCATGTTCACCCACCCAGTCCAGAATTTCGTGGCCCCATAAGGAACTCCACCGGAGGCCCCAATGCCACCGTGCCTCCGTGCGCATGCGTCCCGAAAACCCAACGTGGCATTTTTACCCACCCAATACAACGTTTCGTGGCCCCTTCGTGAGCTCCACCGAAGCCCCCAGTGGGACCGTCCGCATGCGACCCGGAAGCCCAATTTGGCATTTTCACCCACCCAGTACAGCGCTTCGTGGCCCCATAGGGAGTTCCACCGAAGCCTCCAGTGGGACCATCCGCATGCGTCCCGGAAGCCCAATTTGGCACTTTCACTTGCCCAATACAGCGCTTCGTGGCCCCATACAGGGACGTTTTTCATACACATGAGTTTTAATACATGAGATTTTCAAAAGACAAAGTCGAAGAGTAGGTAGAATAGCGTCTCGCGCGCGCGTCGGAATACATACGATTTTTACAGGACGAGATCGAAGATTAGGTAAAATAGCGTCTCGCGCGCGCGTCGGAATCCATGGAATACGCAGCGATTTCCCCCACCCCCCAGGAAAAGCTTCCTGGGGGGCGGGGGGAATCGCCAAGCCCCGCCCCCCCCCCCCCCCCCCCAGGACAAGCCCCGCGGCCCCCCCAGGGACACGCACCCAGGACACCGACAGCGACAGGACACCCCCCAGGGGACCCCCCCCAGGACACCCCCAGGGGCACCCCCCTGGACACCTTCCAGGAAACCCACCAAGATACCAGGACACCCCCACGGCGCCAGGACACCCCCAGGACACACCCAAAACACCTCCAGGACACCAGGACACCCTCCCCACCTCCCAGGACACCCTCCAGAAAACCTTTCAGACAACCCCTGAAGACACCAGGACACCCCTGGACAAGACCCCACGGGCACCCCCCCAGGATAAGCTCCCTGGGTGTTTGGGGAAATCGCAAAAACCCGCCCCCCCCCAGGACAAGCCCCATTGACACCCCTACGGACAAAACCCCGAGACACCGGCAGCGACAGGACACCCCCCAAGACACCACTGGGGGCACCCCCCAGAACACCCTCCAGGGACACACCCAGGACACCAGGACACCTCCAGGAACACCAGGATGCCCCCAGGACACACCCAGGACACCTCGAGGGCACCGACAGGACACCAGGACACACTCCCCACCTCCCAGGACACCCTCCAGAAAACCCTCCAGCCAACCCCTCAAGACACCAGGACACCCCTGGACAAGCCCCGCGGGCTCCCCCCAGGAAAAGCTTCCTGGGGGGTGGGGGAAATCGCCAAGCCCCGCCCCCCCCAGGACAAGCCCCACGGCCCCCCCAGGGACACGCACCCAGGACACCGACAGCGACAGGACACCCCCCAGGGGACCCCCCCCAAGACACCCCCAGGGGCACCCCCCTGGACACCTTCCAGGAAACCCACCAAGATGCCAGGACACCCCCAGGACACCAGGACACCCCCAGGACACACCCAAAACACCTCCAGGACACCAGCACACCCTCCCCACCTCCCAGGACACCCTCCAGACAACCTTCCAGACAACCCCTGAAGACACCAGGACACCCCTGGACAAGACCCCACGGGCACTCCCCCAGGACAAGCTCCCTGGGTGGTTGGGGAAATCGCAAAAACCCGCCCCCCCCCCCCCAGGACAAGCCCCATGGGCAACTCTGGGGACAAAACCCAAAGAAACCCGCAGCGACAGGACCCCCCCCCAGGACACCCCCAGGGGCACCCCCCAGAACACCCTCCAGGGACACACCCCAGGACACCAGGACACCTCCAGGAACGCCAGGATGCCTCCAGGACGCACCCAGGACACCTTGAGGGCACCGACAGGACACCAGGACACACTCCCCACCTCCCAGGACACCC